TGCCAAACAGCTTCCTGAACTGTACACTGAGGCTATTGCCACCAGCAGTATCCTGATTAACAGCCACCTACAGCACTAACATTACAGGCCCGTGGCATGGCACAGCATTTCCTCCTCAGTTCATCAACACTAACATGTTCCACTCAGCTTTGAGCAGACAGAACTGTAATCCCTTCCCACTGCCCAACAGCCAGAGCTCATGAAAAGGCTGCCTCACTTCAGGATGTCTCAGGGTAAAAATCCTGCTCACTCTGAAGCCAGGGGGACTTTTATTGTAACAGATCCAGGATTTTGCCATCTCTCTTTAGACCGCTTTTAAGAATTGCATCATTTTCACTGACCGTTGACCAGTTGATAGGGACTGAAGATGGACTATGAAGACTACATTGACGTATGCTGAATGCAAGCAGCAAAAGCATGCTTACAAGTGTGGATAGCACAGGGAGTAAAAGGAAGAACAAGCATGTAGATTCTTAAAATTAGAACCATCGATTCATACTGATTTAGACGGGATGCATCATCGAAGTAAACACAAATCCAAAATTTATGTAAGCCAATGAGCTTCAGGCTTTGGGCTTCTCCCAAGTTGCCAGTGCAGTCCTGGGTGCTGCAGATGTTGTTCACTTGGCAGTAACTTCTGCCACAGAAGCATTTTGCTTGTACAGCTCAATTCCAGTCTTGGATACACTGGAACATACAAGCCTATGGCTAACAGAAATAAGATACCCTGTTCAGGAATCAGATACTTTGCTCAAAACCAGATGTAGAGTAGATATCAGAATATACACTATCATACAAAAATCAGGTTTCACCATTCTGAAAAGTGGGAAACTATGTGAGTACTTCCTTCTGCAGCTCCTACAAAATCAGCACAGGCATTTCTCCTCAAATCAATGCTCACATTTCTCTTACTAAGAATCTCTAAAGAAAGCCCAAAATATTTTAAAAGGAAAATCACAAGAAACCCCTACAAGAGGGAAGGTTTGCAGGCTCCTGTTTGCCAGGGAGAAGGATCCAATCTATTAAACTGAGTGGAGAAAGCTTGGGTGTATGAACTCTCAAGAAAACACTACCACAGGTCTCCAGCACAGCACAGCGGTACCGTATAGGTGCACACAGTATAGGTGGTGCTTCAACAAATTCAATTTGTGCATTTAAGTCTTGCCTATTAGATTAAGAGCAAAGAACAAAACTTACAACTTGTTTGTATTTTAAATGAGCATGAATTCTGTCTGGTCAAATCAGAGTTACCCAGGATAAAGGATTAGTTCACCTCTGGACTACTAACTGGAAGAAAAAACAAATTCATTTACAAGTACTCTTAAAGTATCAAAACCCAAGTCATGTCCACAAACCACGTTCACTCATTAAAATGATTACTGTACCATATGCAAACCAACACCTCTAAAATAATGGTAACCGTATGTACATGATACTCTGATCTAAATTATTCCCATTGGCCCTGTATTTTAATAATAGAAAGTTATAACATTTTGCATCTTCTTAACAGCAGATTTCATTTGATCTTAGACCAAGCAAAACGTGAAAAGAAAATCTGATCCTGTGACCAGTTCTCAATGAAATCAAAACTGTTGGCTAGTGCCAAAAGGCAAAATTTGGCTTAACCTGACTGCAGTTAACTCTAAACAGTCATACATACATCATACAATGCAATCATCTCCTACAGGAATACCTTCTCTCATGAGGAGAAACACCACTTCTCCAAATACCGAGACAAAGAATAATCTCTTAAACCACATTTAGCAAAACCAGGCTGCGGTTCCGTATGTGGAATTAAACCCAAGATGTCGATACAATTTGCTCTCTATAAACCATACTTACAACCTTTTTTTTTTTTTTCCGGTTTTGAGCTAATATTAAAAAGGTCGGTTTTATTCTTCATTCATTTCCTTTCTGCTTGTGAGCACTGCAGTTATGACTCCGAGACATTCTGCAGAACTCTTCACAAAGTACCCGTAAATTACACAAAAGCAATGCTTTAAAGAAACTATTTCTAAATACTTCTTTGAAAGAGCATCGATTTTGCTCCTTTAATCTCGGTGTAATTTTATAAGCACTTCAGCCTCATGTGCTACTTTACATCCTTCAACTCTGAAAGCAGCATCCTGACAGAAGAGGGGACCGGCTCTTCTGAAGTTAAAGAAACGATGCATAAGCAAACTCAAACCAATTCTGTTGTAAGTCATTCAGAGGAACATTGTGCAGCCTGATCCACAGGCGACGTTGCAATCATTCCCACACATCGCGTCAATTTACCCCCACCAGGGGCTAACACAAGTGCCCGCACCACCAACCTACACCTGCCGCGCTCCCGAGCTGGCGGGCAGCGCAAACGCTGACAGCCCCGGCACCCCCAGATCGCTATATACTCGTTTAGGAAGCGTTAACACCCGGGCGATGAAACGTGGCGCCCCCCAAAAGCCGCCCCGTGGCACCGCGGCCTCCGCAGGGTCACGTCAGTGTTTGTAAACGCTCACCCGTCCCTCAGCACCCCTCGGGCACCGCCGCAACCCCGCTCCACCGGCCACCAGCGCCGGCAGCGGCCTCGCCTCCTCCGCCTCCGGCCAAAAGTTGCCCTCGCGGTGCGCGGCCGCCTCAGCCCCGGCAGCGCTCTCCCCTCACGCAGAGCCCGCCACGCTCCCCTCAGGGCACGCGCCCTCCTCCCGCCGCTGCCCACCGCGCTGCGGACCCAGGACCGGCACAGGCGGGGAGGCGGCGGCGGCTCGGCAGACCCCTGGTCTCTGGCAGGCTTACGCGGACCCGGGGCTTAGAGGTGCCCTCCGGCCCCCGCCGAAGCAGCCGCCCTCTCCTCTCTCCTCCCTCCTCCCTGGCGGCCCCATCCCGGCGCCCCGCTGCCCTTCACCCGCCCTGAAGCGCCTTACCCGTGCGCGGGGCGCGAGCGGCGGGGCCGGCTCCGGGCTGGCCGAGAAAGGGCGCGAAGAAGCAGGTGAGGAGGAGCAGGGGGCGGCCGCAGCGCAGCCGGGACCCGCACTCGGCCATGGCTGGGGCACGGCCCCCGCGGCTTCCCGGCCCCGCGCCGAGCACCGGGCGCAGCGATGGGGGCAGCCGCGCCCCCGGTACAGGGTTGGCCACGCCCCGCCGCGGAGCTGTGAGGGGGGGGCGGCGGCCTCGGCAAGGCCCCTTGGGGGGCTGTGGGGACGGCCCCGCTTCGGGCGGGAAGCGGCCCCCGCGGGGCAGGTACGGGCGGGGGGAGCCGCAGCGGTGCCCGGGCCGCCGCGCCCCGCCAGTGCCGCCGTTACTCACGCAGCTCCTCCCGCAGGTGCCTCAGCCAACCGCGGCCGCAGCGGTGTCCAGCGGGGCCGGCAGCCCTAAATCCACCCGGGGGCAGGGGGCTGCCGCTGCCCCCTTTGAACCGTGGAGCGGGAGGGTGCCACTGCGGGTGGCAGCGAGGAGAAGAGCACGGCACCAAGGAACTTCAGAGTTCCGCTGCACAGAAACACCCTGCAGCTCGGTTTTTAAGTTTCTAAACCAGAATGTTTTGGAACTTCTAATCAAAAATAGATGAGCTGATGCAAGCTAAAAAGTACCCAGGATCGTTCCGTTTCTACGTACGTTATAGATACATAACATAAAATGAATGCTCTGTACAAAAACACACCTTTTTTTCTCTCTCAGCGAAACGAAACGCTGTTACGAAAGACAGCTTTAAATCCACCAACTGTGCAATGCAGCGAATTGTTTTCCCCTAAATCATCCCAATGGAAACACTCAGTGGATGTGTTGCCACACAGAACAGCAGCATCTGCCATTAATGAATTCTTTACATTTAAGGATCTTTACAGAGAGCACAGCTGTGGAAAGAAGGGCTAAATGGGTCTGCAGGGTGTTAATCAGCTGCTACGTGATAAATACCAGATTCCTCAGAAATAAAATGGACCCTGTTCAGCTCAAATAATTTTAGCAACTTTGAATTTTCTTACCATGAACATTACCCAAAGCAGCAATTTCAGAAAGAGCGTTGCCAGTTCTCAGAATGCTTTGATATCAAGTGCTCATTATATACAAGAACAGTGCATCTGTTTGTGTAAATCGTGAACCTTACAGATGACCAAAACAGAGCACTTCAGCATTTCAATCCCTTTCTTCATTTCAAACTTGTGGTGGTCTGTGTTACCTTACCCTGCACCCCATTTAGGATGTGAATGTCTGCACAGTCTGCCCAAGCCCTCCAAAAAAAGGCTGCTTACACAGTGGTTTCTTCCAGCACACTTCCAGTGACATGCTGTATTGATCTGAATGCTCTGCAGTAAATATGGTCATTTTCTATATTGAGAATCCTTTTGTATCCTGCATGTCCTCCACATTCAAAGTATGGATGTGTTAAAGGCTGCAGCAGGACTGGAATGCTCAGTATATATGCAGTGTCAACCCAAAATTCTGGAGTAAATCAAAATCTATTTCAGCCCAAAGCATGTAACAAAGTCCCCTGTTTGATCCCTTTGTGTTACAGTGAAGTTGTGATGTTGCACATCTGAAACTGCAGATCCACAGTTTCTGGTGACGACTGGTCCACCACTGCACTGCACCTGAGGTAAGGTTATCACCTCCAAATCGGTACTTCTGTTAGCAGCCGATGTGCATTGCAGTAGATGCATTTTAGAGCCATCATGTCTGGTTAACAGCGTTAAATTTAGTTGCCACTGGAATATGCAGGGCACAGCAAACTGGTTTTATTACATAACTATGAATTTGTTTACAGCTGGGTCCTAGCTGGGCAAAACAGATGCTGTAATCCTGTAAAAGGATTAAACTGTCTGGGTTACATGGCCAACATTGTGCTAAATATTTGATGTAGCATCATCTGGCACGCATTATGTGGTATTATTATTGATAAAAAACAGTAGTTATAAATAAGAAGCTATTTTTTCTTGCTTCTTTGAACTTGGAGCAAAACATTCATAGTAACAGCAGCATGTTAAGCTTAATATTTATCATTAAGTGAAAGCCTAAAGAATTACCTGAGTAATGCCTGCTATCCTTCCTGAAGGGTCCCTCTCAGCAGGAGCTGACATTTGAAGGTCCCCACTAATGTATGTTCTGAGAATCTGCAGTGACTTGGCTGATGGCAGATTTTCCTGTGCACTGAGGAGTACTTGAACTGGAAAGCCAAACGCCAGATTAATCACAGATAAAAATAGAAAGCTGCTCACTTCTCTTCGCAAAAACCAGGAATACTCTAATTCGGTTTTTGTGTGTGAAGCGGAGTTTTGTCCAGATTAAAGCCAGGAGTTATGTAACCCACTAAGGGGACTCTCAGATCAAGTTATTTTAGTGGGTTTTCATACTGTAATAGAAAGAACTGCAATTAAAACTTGAAAATGAGGACAGATCTTACTACAGAAAATCTGTAATGGGAAATATTCCTTAAATAAACTGGGACACTTAAATATGTCCTAGAACCTCATCTAGTCTGCAACTGCATCATTTCTCTCATGTATGAAGTACCTGAGTGCATTCACTTCTTAGACTCAGATGTCATCAGTTATCTATGTATCACATACAGTCCTGCAGCTTCTAAAACCATTAATTTGAATATCTTGTAATCATTAATACATTCGTTCTCCCAAAACAGTGGAGAAGCACTGTCCCTAATTTTAAGATTCTGAACAGAATGAATACAGAATTGCCTTGGGAATCTATTACAGAATAGAAGCAGCCAGCAAACTGAACATAAGAAGTACTTAGTTTATCATCTTATTTTGAGTGCTGACAATTAAAAGTATTTGGATGAATAGGGAGACATACCTAAAAGAATATTCTGCCTATGCACAACATAGTAAGTGAGAGAAGAAGCAGTCTTGGAAGTTAACGTGCCTTTATTTGAACAGGATACAATCATCTAGAAAACAAGCTAACTCTTTATCTAAGCAAGAAACAGCACAGGTATTACTGGAGAAGCAGTAGTTCCATTATCTCTTAAAATTCCTTAGAATAACAAAACACATTACAGTTTATTAGGACACTCTATTAGTGAATACTTGCCCTAGCAAGCTTTGTCATGCACTCAAATGAGATATAAGCTACCCAATCTTTAAGTTTACTAACATCCTATTATGCAAACAGTTTCAATTAAGTACTTGTACCTAACGTGAAAAATCTGCCGCCTTCCACAGCACCACATGAAGTTCTGGTGTTGAACTAACACTTAATCCACATCAATAGCTAGTTAGTTGAAATACTTGTGTAATACATTCTAAAGTCTACATAAACACCACATGCACAAAAAAAAAAAGTCCATACAAAGAACAGGAAGATCATTTTTCTGTTCTTTACTACTTATCCCCAAACCACTCCCAGTAAAGGCACAAAGCCAGAACCACACAAGAGGCCTTTGCAGGCAACTGCTGCTCTATTTCTAGGAAAAACAGGGTAAGAATATCTCCAGAAGACTCCTATCAGTAAAATATCCCCAGTATCTGCTTAATGTGCTAGGTTCACATGCAGAAAAGAATGAGAACTTAAATTTAGTGTAGCAGAACTTTGCTGTACGTCTTGGCTACAAGTGCCAGCTAGCTAGTCACTTGCCTATTCCAAGGCAGTACAGAGGTTCATCTCACAGTCAGCTGTTAATGGCACTGAGTAGAGATGGCATTTCTTAAATTAAATAGGTAATTATTGTTCAAAGATTATACTCAAAAGTATTTGACAGTACTTTTACTTTGGATAAACAAAACCTTTTGATAAATAGGTCTTTTAAAACGTAGTGTAACTACACAACTTACCACAATGCTTCAATAATGGACTACAGATCAGAAACTTATCCCCACTTGATTATTACAGTATCTCTTTTATCAGCAAACGAAGCAGTGTTCGGCAATGAAATGCTATTGGTAACTCTTTAAATAAAGATGCAAATATATTTGTTATCCCCTTGTTGTTGTAAACAGAAGCATTTAAGAAAAAATGTTATAATAAATCTATATCCTAAGCTATCTAATATTACTTTACTAGTATACTAAACAAACTGCTTTGTGTGATTTATATACATTAATGAATCCAGACTCAACGCTGGAGTCAACCACGTTTTGTTTCAAGCAATCCTTGAGAAGTTACATTTTCACTGCTGCTTTTAAAGCATATTCAGGTACCTGTATAACCATTATCAGTGATCTAGAAACCTGCAAAAGATGATTATTTTGATGATACAGCATTCATGGTATCAAAAAATAAAGTTGAGCACTGAGCTTTCTACATAAAAATTGAACTTGAGGTATTAATACAACACTTAAAAATTGAGATTAAATCTTACCCATTGCATGTTGTCTGCAACTGTTCAGTACTTGTTACATGAGTATCACTCCTATTTTGTTATTTGGAAGATCTACTGTTGTGCAAGGTACAAGTAAAAAGCTTTTATTAGCTATAAAATTTGAATACCGTCAAACTCCTGTCTTAAGTTCAGTACAAAAGACTAAAGCAATTGCCTAGCACTGAGGTTTAGAAAAGGAAGCATCAGGTCCTGCAGACCGCACAGAACACAACTCACTCTATACCATGCTCTGTACAGAGGTTGCCAAAGTGAGTGCAGTCCATCTGTGCGAGCTGCAGCACAGACGCCTCAAGTCAAATTCCTTCCCTCTGTTCTCAACAGTGAATCTTACAGCAAATGAGCTCAAAAACGGGTTTTGTTGAGACTAAAGGCAATTTCTGGCCATGTTAACAAAGTACATTCCATCAGTCAAAAGTGTCTGGGATGGGTAAATCACTGTCTGGACTCACACCATTTATTCAGATGGTCATCCTAAATCCTGTGAACTCTAGATATCCTTTAGGGTAAAACAAAAAGCTACTGATAAAGGCAACCCAGGGGCAGCATGGGCTGGGGCACCAGTGTCACAGTTTGAAATGCAGCAGACAAGTCCTCTCATTGAAGCATGTCACTTGAGTGAGCTTTTCAATTTGCTTTTGATAACCAAAAGGGTTCAAAATGATTTTCAGTAACTTTCATCTCTTCAGAGCTACAAGAGACTCTTGTTAACCTGAAAAGCATTACTTTGCATTTAGTGTAGAACAAAAATGATTCTGAATTCATCCACAAATACTTTGATTTCTCAAGTGGCTAACTTGTTAGTTTTCAACTGTTGATGTCAGAGAAGGGAACCTAGTTCTCTGGGGAAACATCACTAAACTAAACATACAACACAATTTCCTTTCAGGATAAAGTTTAAAAGAGTCAACATGGTCTAAAATCATGCACTATGTTATTCACCTACTGTATTTTGACAAGATAACTTCACATACCCACGTGGCCTTTGTGAAAAGTCTGGCTACTGTGTCCGAATATACCTAGCATTATATGAGTAATTTCTTAGCAAACACATGCACTCATGAAAGCCAGTGAGTTACTGAACACATTTGCTACAGGGCATGTTTCAAACACATCTGCTTTGCGAGACCATCAGTTTGACATAGCCTGCTGTAGAACAAAACAGACCAAAATGAAAGCTTGGCATGCCAGCACACTTTAATTCTGTATATGTGAAGTGTTTTTTCAAACTTAGGAGCCCTTTTCACTACTTTAAAAGGGAAACCCACACATACACACAAAATTCTAACAATTCTATCACCACATTAGTTCTTTACCAACTACCTACTAGCATATACCTTGGTTTAATGGTTTAAAGTTATTAAAACCCTTAAGATTGTGCATATACCAGGCATTACTTCAGAAATAAAGACACCCATCACTATTCTTCTTTAATTTTATTCCACAAAAAATAGAAAATGAAAGAAATAGAGTGTTCCAAGAATTAAAGCAACTATTGGTCAACGTAAGGAGCATGAAACTAATTATCTGAATGATGATTAAGGACCTGGTTCACTAAAAGTAATTCTGGGCCCTCTACAGCGTATTTGTAGGCTTCTACCAGCAGCAATACAGAATACCTTTTACTGAAGCAGGTCCTTTATTATCTACAGAACACTTCATTTCACGTTCTATTTCTCCTTCTCTTTTTGTTCTTTTTCCTTCTTTTCACGTTCAGCTTTTGCTTCCTCCTCCTCATGTTGTTTTATCAACTGTTCCACCTCCTTTTGCTTCAGAACCCTTATTAATGTCTTTCCGTTCTCTCTTGTCAGTGTTGCAATTTCAACTGAAACATATGGAACAGACAGAGGTGTTAAATTTTGTCCTTCAGACAGAGCAATCATCAGGAGGGTAAGATTTGTGGTTACAACTGACAGTGAAGCAGAAGGTTCTTCTCCTGCCTCTACAAAGCAGCCTGACTGGCAAGCCAGGGTAAGGCTGAGAGCTGCTGCATCTCCTAAAAGCATTTTTCACATGACAACTAAAAATCCAATAAAGCACATCAGGTCTCTATGTGTCCATTCTGTTTTCTGTTTTTAAGCAAATGGTGTTAGCCCATATTAGCAAACTGCTTACCTTTCTCTGCAGAGAGTTTGCTAACATCCATGGTTTTGTTTAGAACCTTAATGGCTAATGCCAGGGCAGTCTTTAAGGTCATTTCTCCTTCTTTGTAGTCTTGCTTCAGCATTGACACAGCTGCCTATAAATGTCACAGAAATCAGAACAATATCTTTAAGTCATCAACCAACAGTTACTTTTTACCAGACAGTGTCAATACATGAGTGTTTATACAGTTATCTCTTTCTGCTCTGTGCTAGTAATCAGCAACTCAGTTTAATTAGCAGAGTGCAATTTGCTTTTTGCTTGATATTTTGAGAGGAAAACCAAAAAACCCAGACCAGAACTTACAGCACTGTTATTCCCAATGCACGTAGCCTTCCACCCTCCATAATTTCCACTGGGATCACTTTGATACAGCTGAAATCCATAATGCTTATCCCAGCCAATATAGAGCAATGAAACACCAAAAGGACGTTTGCCTGTTGAAAAGAAGGCTGTTAGCGATCTAAATTTAGTCACCAGATTGGTCATGAGCAGCAGTTATTATCTTGGATTTCTTTCTCAAACCTAGTCCTTTGAACTGGGATTTAACAGACTCTTCTGCACTTCTGCTGCTCGAGATAAGCACCAGCATTTCCTTCTCAGGCATGGGCTGGGGGCGGGCAGCACAGATTTAGTTCATTTAACCCTAAGAGCAGCTCATTTCTGTCCCCACAAATTGTAATTTATCATCCCAGAACTTTAAGTAAAGACTTTATATCTAAAGCATGCAGCTTAGCTGTTAAAACCATGTAACTTAACAGGGTCAAAAGCCAGATACATAAAAAGGTCATTCTTTCACACTACATATGCGTAAAATACCAGAATCACCACTTCACCTACTGGGAAACTGTACTTGGGACATTATCTTCTAACACGTTGCTTGATTCACAGAAATGGTACTTTTTTAAGTGTCACACCATTGCTACCCCTACAGCTGGTCTTAATTTGAGATTCATTGTGCCATTATGCTGGATAGGCCCAAAATACTCGAAGGTTACATAGCAAACAATTCTCTGCTGGCCTTCTGCAGGCACTCACTTAGCCCAAGGGCACTCAAAGCACACTGTGCAGCGAGCTGGAATCCCAGCCATCATTTCTCACTCACTAAGAAGTAGCACCTTCAGCAGCGAAACAGTAACTGTGACCACCCACTTCCCTCTGAAATTTGGCTATTGTTTTTCCTTGGTTTAACTCGTGAAAGAAGTTCTTGGTAGAACTGCCCTGAGATTCAGATGCTCCAAATCATGTAAGAGAAACATTCCACAGACATTTAAAAGCACAAAGGTTCATCAGACTTCACCTCCAAACTGTGTGTAAGCCTGCTTGATATCACACAGGGCAGTGACCAGTTGTTCACAGGGAATGGGCTCTTGATACTGCAACAAGTACCTAACATGAAAGAGAAAAAGTCAAGTTTTCAAAGCTTGTTTTGCTGACAGTATCCTGCGTGGCATGTAACAAGTTCCTAAGTTAGAGCCTCTTTGATCTGGCAGTTTCATTTCAAACAATCTAATTCTGCTCTACTAAACACATGTTCATTTAGATTTAATACACAGAGTATCTGGCAGCACAGGGAAGTTAAACCACATTCAGTATTATCAGACCTACCTCTGAGCAATCAGTCTCAGTTCGTTTGTTAGAACGTTGGCATCCGAAGTGATTCCAGCAACACTGCAAGCCATATCCCTGCAATCAAAGCATATAAATTAACTGACTTCCTGTCAATCTCCAGCAAATGCTCACATCCTCATGCAGCAGTTCAAGCAGAACACCTCTCTGATCTAAACTACAGAGATGCCACAGAAAACACATTCATCAGCTCCTGCCTTTAGGGTACACCAGAAATATCGCATAACCACTCCATAAGAGCAGAGGTGGGCAGCAAAAAGCAAGCAAGTCAGTATGCTAGACATACAGTTGTGAGAAGAGGCTCCTGCCAAAGGTGGTTAAGTCCCAAGTATCTTTACAAGAGCCATTAGCTACACACAAGTGCGTGTCAGGAGTCCCCTGACTCAGCACTCTGCAATGCCAAGGGAGCCACAGAGACAGGAGAGGCCTTCAGCAGAAGATGCTGCTGACACATGGTGTTTGTGCAGCTGAAGCTTGGTGATCTTGATTTGATCTTAAGAAAAATAAGCTCTTCACATCCTGGTTTCATTATCTTTTAATTTAAGATCCCTTCTGCCCAATCTGAAATTCACCACGCAGAAAGGATGCAAGCAAAGTAATCCAGGTTATTTTGAACAAGTTCTTCTTCCAAAAGATGGCAAGGCTAGCCTAGGGGACTATTCCAGTGTGCCCCCTTGAAAACTCAGTGCTTCCCACAGCTCTAGCTGCTTTCAAGATCAACACAGGATGGGAGACTGACAGGATGAAAAGCTCTTTGTGCTTGATGTGCGCCTTCTGTCGACGATGGAGCTCCACCCCCCTTACAGGGGAGCGTAATCCTGAGAACTCTTTGTTCTGACACTGCAAATTTACCTTCCAGAGAGCTAAAAGGAAGTCATAACAGGGAAACGTATCACCTCTGCTTCAATTATGGCAAAGAAACCTACAGCACGTTTAACCCAGTTACCTTGTTCTCTTTGGATCACAAAGGAGAAAACAAAAACTTCAGGAGGATGCTGAGCTGGAACAGCATGGCAATTCTGGTGTGCATTCTTTATTCTGTGCCTCCAATGGTATTTTGTCAAACTGACAGTTCTCAGTTTCCCTACCTGCTACCATAATACCACCTTGTATGGGGTAACAACAAACAGGCTGTTCCACCTAGAACATTCTTCTAGAGGTTAAAAAACTAAAGGCAACATTTCTGTTCTAGAAGAACTACAGCAGTGAACAATGACAAGAGTCACACCTGCCTGAAACACTGCACAAGAAGAACAGTCACACCTCAAATCAAAGCAAGCCAGGGTGAATGCTAAAACAGCCAAGTACCAGCACTGCTCTGATACTGGTAACGTCACTGCGCAGCCCATCACCAGTTCAACTTACTCGTTCAGCTTATATATTTTCTCAGAGAAGAACACTTCATCAAGAAGCTTGTGAATGTTGCGTCTCTCTGCTGCAAGCAGAACGCCATCGTTTGCCAGAATTCCCAAGCAAGTGCCTGCGTGTCCAATGGCTTCCATTGCGTACTCAACTTGGTACAAGCGACCTAGGAAAGGATTTCAATGAGTGGCACCAAAAGCAACACTGAATGAGACCAAGTACGCAAAGTGACTTCAGTTTGCAAGAGTCTGACAAATGCTCATTGCACGACCTGGTCTGTCTTCTGCAGTCTGTCACCAGTTAATAGTGACTGAAGTGGTTGAAAAGGAGAACAAGTCAGAGAAAGAAAATCCACAAATCTGGTAAGGTAATACAGGGCATCACTAATGTGGGAAGCAGAACTGTGCTGCAGTAGAGCCAAAATGGATTGCCAATAATGAAAACACTTGACACTAGACATTTCAAGTCCATCCCATCTAAACAACAGAGAGTAGGAGCTGTTAGTACTTGTTTCAGCATGTGCAAGAGTAACAACGGGAGGTGTGATCACACCAGCAGAACGTTGTGCGCTCTGGGGTGTGTAGCAACAAACTCCACCATAGTCCAACAAAAGACGGCTGGTGAAGATTGCTCAAGTTATCCCAAAAGTGGGGCAGGCGGCATCACTCGCTGATGGGGCACAGTGCTGTTAAATTAGAGCAAGTCTGCGGGGCTGCCACTTTAGACCCTGCATGTCCTTACTTCTAGCAAATAAATATGATTTTATGCGCCACATATAGCTGGAAACACGCTGCAGTCAAGCATCACACAAGCTGTTTGTTACTTAGCTCTGAGAAGCTGGACAGAACAATGAGAGCGGGGTTAAAAAGTACCTTCAGGAGAAAATATGGTGGTTCTGGAGTCGTATCTTCGAGACTGCAAAAACCAACAGCTCGTTACATGTCCGCGTTCTCTCCCCACAAACCAGCACCCCACGGCCAGCGAGGCTCCGCGCCGCGCATCAAAGCAGTCCCGGCTGCCTCCGCGCAGGCCCCGCAGTGAGGCTCCGCTACCACCCACCCACCCGCCCCGCCCCACCGCACCGCAGCAGGCCGAGCCGTGACTCGGCGCGCCTCGCGGCCCAGCCAAGCCGCGGGAGGGGA